AAACGTTTTAGTTCTGCATAAGTAATGCAAAACACACAGTGAAGAAAATCTGTGTTTTACCATTCTCACCTTCCTGCTTTATCAAATTTATCACACCTATTTTTGTTATCACAAATTTATCAGTTCGGTGAATAAGTGATACAGATCTCTGATAAAGTTACAAGGCTCACCAGCATAAACGGCGAATACCGTCCTCCAGGAGAATGCCTTGATAAGTGCCTCACTGATCGGAGCAAATAAGACAGTTCCGACACCGGCGCCACATACTGCTATGCCAGTGGCCATCGCTCTGAAAGCAGCTCGAATTTTTGCCCACTTAGACAAAAATGACAAAAAAAAAGTTGAAAAAGAGGTCCATATTACAATCTAAAATCAGACTTCCGCAAATTCCTCTGTCTCTGAATTTGAAACAACTGCTAATTTCTAGCACTTTTGCCTGTAAATGCGTATTTGGCCACTCTTCATCTGGTTAAACCAATACTGCTTCACCTATTAATCATATCATTCACAGTAAAATCTGTTTTAGCTTACAGATCCGAACAGTCAGGACAACGCAATAAAATATAGGCATAAATTCAAATTTGAATGCTTAGAGCAGGCCTACTTCATACAGCTACTTTAGAAAGATAAAGACTAATAGCAATCATGCCAGCGAATATGGCCAAGAAATTCGGTGACAATCGTCAGTTAAAAAATCACTTTGTCTATTTGCGCCATTACCTTCTTTGTAAACAAATTCGAAAGATGGAGCCATCGATAGCCTCACCAGCAGGTAGTTGGCGTTGGCATTTTGATACCTTCCAAATACTTTCTCCCTCTGCTTCTCATAGAGAGTGAACACGGGGAGGGATTTTGATTTCTTTCCTTGACGTATTAAAGCCATTTACTTTTAGCGGCTACTCTTCTGATAGCCCGCCAAGCCAAATGAATTAGATAAGCGTGCCTTTTTATGCGTTTTGTGCTGTGTAACAGCAGTACAAAACGCATATTGTTACGGGGTTGTCTG